TCAACTTAAATACATTTTCAACTTAAATACATTTACTCATGATTCTTAATGAAGTTACCATACCAATTTTGTGTTTCAGTAAGTCAGTGAAAAGTAGTTAAGGGTATTCAAATCAATAAAATGATTAGCACGTGTCAAGTTTTGTTTTAATGCATATTCTACATTTTCTGTTTGTCCAATAAACCTCAATTCAATACTGAATATTACTGTGTCCATCAGTTATTAGATATATCAAACTGAAATAGCCGTTGCAAACAGCCAAATATGTAGAAATAAAAATAACTAAGATTAATACGGGTGCCCAAACTTTTTCATATGACTCTAGCTACAGTATCAACTCAGCTTTCACTGTAATCAACTGAATGTGCTCTCTGTCATCCTTTTGACAGGAAGTCAGGCTCAGAGCTTATCGGCATAGCTGTTTGTGTTTTTCTAGACAGCACCACCTATGAAGCTAATCTACCATTATTTGATCTAAGACAGGAAGTATTCCTGGATCAGTGCACCTATGTTCCTTGTGTATTTGCTTCTTCTCATATCCACCATTACCCTTAGCAGAAGGCTGCTTACACTGAGCCTGGTTCTGCTGAGGATTCCTTCTTGTTAAAAGGGAATTTTCCTCTCCGAGCATGACTGACTGTTGCAAAATCAATGATACAATGCAAGCTATTATCTAGTGTCGATACATTCTCACCTAGCAGTTGTGAGTTCTGCAAAGTCTGTGACTAGATGCGAACAGCTGAGTTTTTCTAAGGTAGAAAGCTTAACTGCACACATTCTGTTTGTGTGATTTGACAGAATCAACTACAAAGTGCCCTTAGATGATGTGCTGTAAATTGATGGTATATAAATAATCTGAAATAAATTCCAGCAAGATTCTTTTAACATTATATGTAGGATATAAAAGGTGGAACTATGGCAGATTTAAATCTAAAAAAGCAATGAAACTCACTGTAACAAGCTGCTATGGATTTGAGAACCATATTAAGATCGCTTTAAATAGGTTGTTGGTGTGTGGGGGGAATATCCTGTCAAATCGATTTACTGTTTTTCCCTTTATTACAGTTAAGAGAGTTAAATCCATTCAAACTTGAATATATTACAACTTGTTAGAAATTGGATATTTACAAAGTCGTAGAACAATTGAGTACAATACTACTGTCTTTAAATTGTAACACAAAAAAAGATTTTATTCTACATATTCAACATATCTAAAAAAAAATACCATTCACAACTAAAATCTGTCAACGGTTACAATCATCAAAGGCTGGCCAGCAAAATAGAGAAAACAATGACACAATGTCATACTTTGGAACATGCATTAAATAAAACAACTTTTAAATAACATTTCGTTATAATAATGGTTCTGGTTGTTGATGTTCTGCCAGTCCTTTACAGAGGAACCCTGCTGTAACGTTACTTGCTGGGGTCACCATGAAGACTGGGGGTTTGCTTTGTAATAAACATAATCATCTTTTCTGAAAAACCCCACTTCTGTTTCATTAGCTGGAGAGAAAAGGAAAAGTTAATGATTAGACTGAAACAGACCTGTCTTTATTAATTATTCAAGAAGCCTATAGTAGTGCCAAATACATTATACTACTGTACAACTCATGCATTAATTTTATTAATTCATCTGACAGGAACTCTTCTGTTTCCTCTGAATATTCATATATAGCATACTGCTATATATGCCTGCTAGCTTTCCCATTGCTCATCTGTGGTGCCCTAGAGGTGCTTCAAGGAGCATATGAAGATCACACATAAATGACAGTGATAAATGCGAAAGTCAGACTAGAACAACCGTTTCTAGAGTAGTTAAAGCAGATAAAACTGCTTCACTTGATATTACTAGCATATCAAGGTCTTTTGGAAAGTCTAGTATGTCTTTAGTGAACTTTTTTAAAGATATGGATGTAGTTATTACATTTCCTGGTTGGTTGATTAAATGTAGTCTGGTTTTGGAGTAGGACAAATATTAGATCCAGTTGAATTTTGCCAGATGGCCTTTATATTGCCACCTTCCTGTAATATTGTGCGGATGCTTTGTAAATGCGCACAATGTTTAATATGGGTCTATATATGTAACATAGTTTGAAGCTGAGCGAAGCTGGACACATTGCAATTTGGGGGTACCAATGCTGTACATAGTTTTCAGGCAAGTAGGTTCTACAACGACAGTCTACAACAGCTTTGCTGTTATTTCAGAAAGGTAATGCAGACATTATGGTCCAGGCCAAATGATGGACAATTACTGATTGTGGCAACAACATCATCTAGTGTTTGGTTTGTTAAAACTGCTGTTTTGTTTTTTTGATTTGACTGCAGGGTTGCTTTATGCTAAAAAGCATTTCAACTGTTGTCACTATTATGTAGTTTATAAAATGTGGCAACATAAAAAATTTTAAAAAATCAAAGCCGTTAGAAAATTTTACAAACTTTTTTAAACTGTTAAACGAAAGGCATTATAGAATTTCACTGCTTAAGGTGGGTTCACATTGGAGTAGCTCTGCTAGCTTGACTTATATACTTTTCGAGAACTTTTGTTCCTCCGTTTGTGGATCAGTTTCCTTTTTCTGTTGGTTTTTGCTTCTGGTGTTGAATGCTGTGAAACCAAAATTAATTTTACTGATATTCTTTGCTTTTTGGATATTTTTGTCAAGTCGCCTAACCACAGAAACCATAGCAGGTTATTTTTTTTAGCAGCTAATTTACATCTTAAACAATATGTATTTATTTGTTTGTAGTAAAATAATTTCAAACCTAGGAATCAGTTTCATTTATGGGAGACCATTGACATGAGGAAAAAGATTCTTAAATTTTCGCCTACTTCCAGTAGGAGTGTCTCGAAAATGACCAACTTTGTTGGAAGTTAGTCACTGTCCTATCACCTGTATGACTTAAGGAGGAGCAAAACATTGTGGTGTTTTGCTTGGCATTTTCTAAAAAAAGGAACTGACTAACATTTGTGTTGACAGAAGGAAAAAACAATGATAATTCAAAAGGCACATCAATTTCAAATACTTACCGACTCCAGCAGCTTTGAGGGTTTGATCATCTTGTAATATAAGCTTTTCATCGTCGTCTAAACTCATTACCAACTCATTTGTCTGAAACAACAGAAATAAGTTGCAATAATTTATGAGTATATCTTTTTACAATACAGGATATATTTAGATCTAATGGTGTAGAATCTTATAGTTGGCAGACCTAACTTTTTGGAAAGTATCTTGTTCTAAAGTGTAAAATCTGTTAAGCAATAAAAAAAAACAAAAAAAAAACAGGCGTACTGTACTCCGATTAGTTTGTCACCAGTGAATACCAGTCATCCCCAAACTCCCTTTTACACTGCATCCATCTCTGCTTAACTTTACCCCAATAAAAATACACAGTATTAACACAAACACCAAAGTCATTAGCTTTATTTACATGGACATTAGCATTTGGCATAAATAACAATTTCCAAAAACAAAATCACCAGAGAGACTGCATTTTCCACACTATAATAAATATACACATATTCAAATGAATATTAATGTATAATATAAACTGATACACTTGATCACTTACTTTAAGTTTTAAAATAGACATCAATAAGTGAATGTTTTAATATTAAATCAGACAAAACAAGCAATAGATGTAGTAATTAAAACAGTTTAAAAATTTAAATAATTTTTTACCAAAATGTTTGAAAACATGATAAAAAAAAACATCTTTGATATTTGAGCAGAGATTAAGTAATGCAATTTTTGCTGGTTAATTGTTTTTTTCTCTTCCATATATTCAGATATTTTAAAAAATAAA